GATTTCTGAAGATCACGTGACACTGAAGACTGGAGTAATGATGCTTTGATCACAGGAATAAATTATATTTTAAAGTACATTCAGATAGAAACCCGTTATTTTAAATCACAATAATATTACTGTTTTTGATCAAATAAATGGAGGCTTCATGAGCAGAAGAGACTTCTTTAAAAACATGACAAATCTTACTGATCCCAAACTTTTGGACGGCAGTGTAAGTGGGTTTTGCATGTGACAAATATTATATGTGGCATGTTGCTATATGGCTTTTAGCGTGCTTGTTTCTGTGCTAATGGATTAGCTGTCTTTTGCTTGCAATTTTTGGGTGAACTGTCCTGTTAATTAATGCATATGGACACTGAGAAATAAATAAAAATGGCATGCAACAGGAACAGGAAGCTGTCAAAGCAGCCGGCGGGGTTCTGGAGGCTGTTATGGACTTTCTGCATAATTGCACTAGCAGGTATTAATGCCACACACTGTCTGCTGCTTGCTCTCTGTGCAACTCCAATGTGCCGTGATGAGCCAGATCCACAGTTTACTGAATTCTGCTGCTGCGGCGGCGTGGGACGCCACAATAATTGGCCCTAACAGCATGCCAAATAAAACAAGACTATTTTGGGTAACATACTTGGATGTTTTGTAATTAAAATAGTATTTATTAAAACAAAATCTACACAATTTTATATAAGCATCCATTCAAGCTCAAGTAATTCATTACGCTGTGTTCTAACTTATTTTAGTATTATATATATATATATATATTTTTTTTAGTTATCTTTTTTTTAATTTTAGTTTTAAGATTTTGTAATTGTTATATGTGCCTTTTTTTCCTTTTAAATATTTCTATTTAGCTTTAATTGATTTGTTTTAGTTTTATTTTCAGTTAGTCACCAAGATAATATTTCTAATTTTCGTTTTAAGTTTTTTAACTTCTACTATATATATTTTAGTTCAGTACAGCTCTATTTCAACTATAGAAAACTATTTTTACTAGTTTAGATTTAGTTTTAGTTAACAGTTAAAAAACTCTGGTTCTAACCTGACATGATGCAATACATTTCCAGCAACAATTAATATTTTTCTGAACACGATTAAAACAAAACATTGGGACGCAAATGCAGATTTACATGCTTGGTTAGCGTATGAGTGTTTTTGCATGATTCATTAAAAGAATTGGCTCAAATGAATAAACTTGTCATACTGTATGTTTTGCAAAGATGCAATGGAAAGATGTTTTGTATTATTTCTGTCTTTGCATTGTTTTGCGCCTGAAATATAATTGTTACATGAAAAAAATGTTTTGTTGCATCATGCTTGTTTACGACTTCATGAATCTTTTTGTATGATTCACTAGAAGAACTGTCTCAAAAGAATCTATTAATCAAATTACATTGTATGATTTGCAACGAATACGCAATTCCGGGACACTTCGTGGCTCGCAGCTTGTTTATCCCATTATCACGTTTAATTCTGAAAACTCACAACAATTTTAGTATTGGTTATACTATATCAATATATATTCATATTTTGAATTAGCTTTTTTTTTGTATTTTCATTTTAATTTTAGTTTAAGTTTTAATAATTTTGTTATGCAGTTGTGCCA